ATTCTTGTTTCCTGACGATGCTCTTTCTTTTCTCATTTCTCCACCACAATGAGCCTGCGAACACCCATAGCCCAGGACACCTGTGGTTTGCAAGCAGGAGCTAGCCCGTGCAGCCCCCTCCCGCAGACGCTGGCAGCAAATCCTTTGTCACACGGGGGCATGACCGGCAGCACAGGTTTGATGACCGAGCAATCCCTCTGTGTTGAAACACATGACAGCAGCTGCCTCAATGTGCTGATGCCCTCTGCACTGACAGTGCTCTGCTCATTCTCTGCTCTCATTCCAACTCATTTGGTTTTCTGCAACCAAAGCAAGCCCTGCCATGTGCGAGAAAGCACAGTACGATGTGATGCTGCTGCCGTGTTTGGCATGAGCAAACTGTTTCCCCCCCTTCCCCATATAAAATTAAATTCCATGTTTTAATTCGCAATTTAAGTGGGAATCATGCATTTATCAGAAAGCTTTTCTTAAATACTATGTAAGTGTATTAAAATCAGCTTCATCAGAAAAAGATTGTTATTTTTTAGACTGAGGGATTATGGAAATTTAATTGCATATTTGACTTTTTAAGCAACAGATGCTTAGTATTAATAACATGCAAAACAGTCTAACCTCAAATTTGTTTTGATGCTTTTTAATTCTTAAACAGACGTACCAGAGAACATGTTTGTTATATTTTAAAAAGGTAACTAGCACTTGAAGTTTCCCTCGATTAGTAAGTAAACCATATTTTTGGAACAGCCGAGTTGCAGCCAGATATGAGTCACTCTGTTTTGAAACACAGAATTCACAAAAGAAATTCAAACACTCTAATCCGGAGATGAAACAAGCTCCTGAAATTGTACCACCATAGTGTATAAATGGGGGAGGAAAAAAAAAAGCTTGTGGCTTGAGAGGTCAAACAACCACACTTACAAACCTCGGTTCCATTGAGGGAATTATGCTCGCCTTCTCTTCTATACCTACAACCCATAGGTGCAGCCAGGGGACTGAGCTGCTCTATCACATAACACACAAGCTCTTCGAGCACAAGGAAACATTAGGTGAGAGGAATCGCACAATAACAACTCTCTTGCTATGTTAACTAACTGCTGCTAGAAATACTAACTATTATTATTTCTCAGGGGCCTCAATACATTTTAAACGTTTTTCTCCACAGCTGACCTGGAGGGATGGTGTATATCTTATCTGCCCAGGTATCTATGGCTCATATTAAACGGCGGGGGCCACCCGCGAGCGCCAAGCCCGACGTGGAGCAGAGCTTTTGTCACCACAACCGCCCCGGCGTCCGTCACACAACACAGGAAGAGAGGTCAGGCTACTAATAAACATGCACAATACACAGAATAAACCCTATGTTCACGTCTTTGGAACAATTCCAAAACCTATCGAGTTGCTTAGGAAAGCCACAGCATATTAAAAGAAGCTACAGCTTCGCTGTTCAGACACCGTGACGCATCCTCTCCAAGACAGTCTGCTTACAGTTCGCTAATATTCTCGCTTAGAAAAAGATTGACAGAAGCAGCCAGGCATGTAGAGGTTTAAGAAAGCTTTTCCTGGGCAGAGAATTGTCATCTGTCTAAGTACATCCTATCTAAGCTTCCTCATCCTCACCAAGAAGGCTGCTTTACTTGCAGTGTTGCATAATCTTTACCCTGTTTTTATAAATTCATGGCCATGTGACTCTGATGTTAGAAAAAGGAAACAAGCTTTTTCTAAATGACTACAGCATTATGTATAAAGTGTGAAGTTGCTAAATTAAATATATATACTTTTTTGCTTTTTTTCATTAAAACAAACTGTACCAAGTGCATTTAAGACAGACACAGTATGACACATTATATGATTTTAAGCTGCAGTTGCATATTGCCTGTTCTTCTAATCATTTTTCAGATAATCTTAGAACAAGAAAGTATTTTCTTTTTCTTTTAATTTCGTTTGGTTAACCAAAGTTCAGCCAATCGCATCTCTCCCGTTTCCAAGCTTTTGCAAAATCTCCATCACGGACAAAAACACGTCCTGTTTTTCACACCAGCTAGACAGCCATGGCTGGGCAGAACTGCTTTGCAGGGCAGCACGTCTGACAGCTTTCTCATTCTTGAGATTTTGCCCTCTCACTACTACTTCTGAATAACACAATGCCAAACCCATAAACCCTCTAAACACTGGAATTGCTCCTAAAAAGGTAAGGAGAGTCTGTTCTGGCTCACTCAGCCTTGGTAACAAAGTGAGTAAATCTCAGTGTAACAAGATGTTTCAAACAACTAATATAATCTCTCGAAATGAGCACATTTGTGGGTATAAACACATCAAGTAAATTAATTTCAT